GTGCGAGAGTTATGTTGAAACCGAGCCGCCCTCAATCCGTGAAGCTCGTGCAAATTGTATAGCGAATGTGCGCGGCGCTCAGCGCGGCGTTATGGCGAGATCCACAGTTTGAAAGCGATCCTCCTTCAATCCATAAAACAAACTCGCGGAATTCTTTAAAACGAATGTGCGCGACGCTAAGGTGAGAGCTAGATTTTGAAAACAAACCTGGGGGGTGGTGGATGTGTTTTTGCTGTCGGCACGGTGCGAAAGTTCTCGTTCGGCTAAAATCGTCCCCTGGAATATTTCTTTTGCGCGGCGCTAGCGATAACGGGGGGGTTCTTAAATACTGGATGATGTTAATGCTTTCCCGTTGTACTGCCTTCCACGGGGTGGGCGGAAACCCAAGCCACTTTATGTTTCGACCCAGTTTTTCGGAATGATGGGTAACCCCCACGCCGTGTAAGCGTCGTAAGGGCCACTTCAGTCTTGGAAGGGCTAGCGGGCTCCTTCCTTAGTTTGCTCGGGCTCCTCAACGGCGAACTGTCGACTGCAAAGGGGAAGAGAATTCAGGTGGGTCAAGGCAATGATAAGAAGTAGTGGAATATGGAAGTGATCGTCATAGGGCAGGGGAGTACGCAGAGGCACACATTCCCGCTCCTGCCTCCCCGTTGGTCACGTCCCCTTCGCCCGGGCCGTTTCGCCAGGGTACCGAAAATCAGAATTTCGGAAGTCGGACTTTCATTTTTTTGGGGGAAACTTTCATAATGGATTGAGCAACTGACAGAATGGAGGTCGAACCTCAATTTGAAGGCTTTCGGTCTTCTGGGTCCTTCATCCCATCCCATCCAGGGGCTGGGGGCGGGGACACTGCTGGATCGAGGATCGAAGGGCTTTTGGACAGTTGTGACCCTTCCTGGAAGATCCAATGCCTTTTATTTCATGTGTCGTACTTTCTTTCTTTTTTGGGATGCGAGAAGCTTCCAGCATAGAGGAACACAACGCTTCCATAATGGATGACGAACCTAAATTTTGAAGGTTGTCGATGCTTCCTGGTTTTTCACAGGATCGAGAATCGAAAAGCTATTGGACACTTTCGGCGCCTCTGGAAGCCTCCAGATGCCTCCAGGGATCTCTGCTCACTGGTTCCTCCAGGGACCTTCAGGGACTTAGGAGACCTCTGGTGGCGTCTGGAGGCCCATCCACAAGCCTATCTTCCCATCCCCTTCCCCTTCCATTTTTGAACCTTCTCTGCTGCTCTCTCTGTCTCTCTTTGTCTCTCTCTTTCTATGTCGGTCGGTCTGTCTGTCCGTCTGTCTTTTGTCTGTCTGTCAGTCAGTCTGTGTTTTTTTTTGTTTCTCTCTCTCTCTCTCTCCTTCTCATAGATCGCATCGCCCCCGCGGCAAGGAGGATGAGGATGATGATGGGTGGTGAGGATGAGGAGGAGCTTCCCCTCCCTATCCCTCCCAACGCCCCCCCGCGAGGTCACGCCGGTGCCCGTGCATGCTGTGCCCTCAGATGCTGTCGATCAGCGATTGCGGCTTTGATCGAGGGCCGCCAGTCGGCAGGCTTCTGACCGTCAGGGCGGGGATCGTGGGGCCCCCGATGGGTCGAGAGGTCGAAGCCCGAAGCCTCGCCCCCGACGGCCTTGGCGGAAGCCGCCCGCGGAGGCTGGGCGGAGGCGGAGCGTTGCCAGCTGGGCGGAGGCCGGGGCCCCCCCCCCGCAGATGGGGCCGGTGCTTCTGCGCTCGGGGCTTCCGGGGTGCCGCGGCTCGGGCCTGCGAGGTCCGAGCGGGCTCCACTCGCGCGCCGGAGCAGAGCCCTTCCAAGGTCGTTCGGGGTCTCTGGAGGCCCCTGGGAGGTAGCCTGCAGGCCCAAGGGGATCCAGACGCGGCGAAAAAGCTGGATGATCGAGCCCCTTTGATCCCCAATCGAGGGCCGTAGGTTTTTTGCGCGGAGGCCCAAGAGGGGCCAGAAGCGTCCAACAAACCTCGATCCTCGAGCCCTTCTGATCCTCAATCGAGGGCCGCCGTCTCCGCGGAGGCCCAGTTAGCATTAGCATCCAGGAACCTCGGTGCTCCCCACCAGGGGATCGAAAGCCTCCAACATGGAGGCTGGACCTCCACGCTGGGTGTGATTATTTTGTTCTGGAAGTTTCTGTGCCTCCAGAGTGGAGGGTCCGAACTGCAAGACGGAAGTTTGGGGTCCTCTGGGTCGGTCCTCAGTCGTCCTCCATCGAGGCCCTCCTTCCTCCCTCCCCCGTTGGGCGGGGGCCAACGCCATGCCATGAGGTCAACGAAGGCCCCAGGCTTGGAGACCCGAGACCCAGAGAGGGCCAGGAGGAGAGTCCAGGACACAGGCAACCCATTCTGAAGGAAGAGTGCTCCCAGAATGCGGAGAGCAGAGTGACGACGACGATGCTGATGGTGGTGATGATGAGGATGATGATGACGATGACGATGACGATGATGATGATGATGATGACGATGACGATGACGATGATGATGATGATGATGATGATGATGATGATGATGATGATGATGATGATGATGATGATGATGATGATGACGATGATGATGATGATGATGATGATGATGATGATGATGATGATGATGATGATGATGATGATGATGATGATGATGATGATGATGGATGAGGATGAGGAGGATGATGATGATGATGATGATGATGATGATGATGATGATGATGATGATGATGATGATGATGATGATGATGATGATGATGATGATGATGATGATGATGATGATGATGCTGATGATGATGATGATGATGATGATGATGATGATGATGATGATGATGATGATGATGATGATGAGGCAGAGTGCGAACCTCAGCTTGGAGATGCTGGGTCCTCCTGGCAGAGGTCCGCGGGGGGCCCGCCAAGAGAGGGGCCAGGACCGCCCAGGCGCCCGGGAGCCTCGACCCCAGGCTTCGAACGTCTTGAGCAAGTCAAGACGCAGTCTCTTCGTTATATTTTCGACGTCCAGGGGCTGGCGTCGGGCTCCAGGACGATCAAGCAAAAAACATACTTGACGAACGCCTGCTCCAGTTGAAGGGAGGGGTCGAGAGGTCGGGGGACCGCGCATTGAACAAATCATGACATCGGATCTCTGAGATCCTCGATCCTCGATCGAGGACCTCCCTCCTCTCTCCCCGTCTGGCGGTGGCCGATGCGTCGCCCGTCGCCGTGGCCAGTCGTCGTCGTCGCCGTCGTCGTCGTCGTCGCCGTCGTCGTCGTCGTCGTCGTCGTCGTCGTCGTCGTCGTCGTCCGTGGCGTCCCCCCCACCCCCTGGAGATCCGACGTTGCGAACAAAAATGCAACATGGTGAAACAATCACGACTGGAGCTCTCGACACTTCCATCTTCTTGCGACATCTCTCGAGTCGGATCGGTCCGTGAGGGCCCCGTCGCCCGAAAGCGGGCGAAAACGCCTAGTTTATCTCAGATGCATTCGTCGCCATCATCGCCATCTTCGTCGTCAGTGATGATCCCGTTCCCGCCGTACCCTTACCGAGGCTCTCGTCCCGCATCCTCACCTCCTGCTCCTGCTCCCCCTTCTGCCATAGGTACCTCCTGCCTGTCGCACCCCCAGACGTGTCAGTCGGCGGGCCGGGCGTTTCGCCTGAGACGTCCTCAGCACTCATGATCCTGAAGCGTGAGATTTCCAACATTCACACGGATGGAGGGGGAGTCGTTTTGAAAATGACGTTCTCGCCAAGTTTTCGATTTTTACACGAACGGAGAGGGGTCGTTTTCAAGAGGGCTCTTGCCTTATCGCCGCGCGCGTTCGCTACTACGCGAGTGGAGGGCCGCGCACATTCGTCCGAGAGAGCTTGCAGCAGCACGAGAGTGGAGGACGGTTCCGTTTCAACATGTGGCTTTCATTCGAGATTCTTTATGAGGATGAAGGCCGGTTCCTTCTCAAAAGGGGGTTTTTGTTTCAAGATTTCTCGAATTCCATGATCAGAAATGTAAACTTGCGCAACAACTAAACGGATGGGGGGAAGGCAGTTCTTTTTCAAAAAAGGACTCTCGCTGAACACATCGTCGAACTACTTGCCGGGTACTTACTAAAGTTTTTCAACATCGGCGGGGCGCAACCCAGAAGGTCTCGCGTGCTGCCGACGGTCCAGGATGCAGACGTACCCTGATGAGGATTCGCGAGCCTTCGTAGGCTATCTGGGATGGCCCGCTAGCGAAGCAAAGGTGACCTCGTTGGATAACGATGCCCAGGGTCACACTGTGTCAAGTCAACAACACATGCACTGATGCATTGCGCTGCAATGGACATGACAACGGCGATGACGAAGACGATCATGACGAGCTCTATTGTCCAATGCGGAGCGATTGCAATGCAATTGGGTTCAAGTCGGAGTGGTCTCCGGGCCGCGCTTTGGTGGGACGTCATGATCATCACATCGTGGCCTGACGTCTTATGGTCAACGCTATCGTACGGCTTGTGCACATGATCCGACCTTCTCGCGATCGGAGGTTGGGGGTGAGTCCGACGTGAAACGGAGACCCCCCCCACCGGGAAATCGATTTCGGTTTCGGGTTCGTGTCGTGCGTACCGTGTGTGCGTGCAGGCGAGGCGAAGCTGCGTGGGCGGGCGAGAGGAAATCCTCCTGTGGCTGGGCCGCGGCTGGACCAAATGTAACTCCTCCGGCGGCCGGTGCCGCATGGTGTCCCGCCGGTGTCCCGCTGGTGTCCTGAAATCCTCCTGTGGTTGGGCCGCGCCCGGACCAAATGTTTCTCCTCCAGCGGCCGGTGCCGCGCGGTTTCCCGCCGGTGTCCCGTGGTGTCCCGTTGAGTGAGATCGATCGTGAGATCGATACCGAGATCGATACCGAGATCGATGTGGTGCCCCGAGGTGTCCCGTGGTGTCCCGTTGAGTGAGATCGATAGTGAGATCGATAGTAAGATCGACAGGTGCCCCGTGGTGTCCCGTGGTTTTCCCTCTGAGTGAGTTCCATAGTGAGATCGCTACTGAGATCGATGTGGTGTCCCGTGGTGTCCCGTGGTGTCCCGCCGAGTGAGATCGCTAGTGAGATCGATAGTAAGATCGACAGGTGTCCCGAGGTGACCCGTGGTGTCCCGTTGAGTGAGATCGATAGTGAGATTGATCGTGAGATCGCTAGTGAGATCGATGTGGTGTCCCGAGGTGACCCGTGGTGTCCTATGGTGTCCCGTTGAGTGAGATCGATAGTGAGATCGATAGTGAGACCGAGATCGAGAGGTGTCCCGCGGTGTCCCGAGGTGTCCCATGGTGACCCGTTGAGTGAGATCGATAGTGAGATCGATAGTGAGACCGATAGAGAGATCGAGAGGTGTCCCGCGGTGTCCCGTGGTTTCCCGTGGTGTCCCGTAGTGCCCCGTTGAGTGAGATCGATAGTGAGATCGATTGAGTCAGATGTTGTTTCCCCCCTCTCCCCCCCCCCACGACCTCCTTATCACCCGAAGGGTGGTCGTATAGGTACTCACAACTCGCTGGAGGGGTACAAGCCAGGTCCTTCTCAAAACGGCGCTCTCGCCTGCATGGCAGGCGCATGGAGCGATCGTCTTTCAAGGGGTCGCTGCTTATCCTCCTCCTCCGAGTTGGCGTTGGAGGCCCAGGCACATCGAGCTCCGACGGACTGAGGACTTTCACCAGAACTCACTCACACGACTTCCGCCCCATACATTATCCAATCGTGGTCGGGCGGGCGAGAGGGAGTAGGGGGGAGGAGGAACAGAGAGAGGAAGCAATACCTGCAGTCACTGCGATACCGTACTCTTTGCGACCCTTTTTCGCGTATTAGGGTCGTAATTTGTTGACGGAGTTTTCTTGTGCCGCAATTTTCCAAATTTCTATGGAGGATTGGAGTGTGACCTTCAACAAAAAAACGACACACCAAAGACGCAGAGAACGGATCCGCCGTACCCATGCTCGGAAATGCAAGATTGCCAGGGTTGAAATTTGCGAGCAATTGGTTGATCAAGCGCCGTCGTTGGACAGCAGTTACCAGAGATAATATGGAGGCTCCGGATTTCGGAGGCAACCAGAAGGTGCGAATGAAGAACCTCGAGAACCCATAAACGACTCAGAGCTTTGGGGACAGCTGCACCAGGAATTTGGCAATGAGGAATCAGAGAAGCAGAAAACGATTTTGTTGGAAAATATGGCTCTGGAGATAGAAGAACAATTGCGTCAATGGAGCCTTATTGGCTCAGCTCTGCATTCATTTGCCCGTCGGCGAGATAAGTTGAACGACGAAAGCCAGAGGGAAGATGGACGCCCCGAGGTTCGGAGGCCATTGGCTTTCGCCAGTGATGAACCTCGACAACCCATGACCACTCTGTTGGAGGATAACAGTCATAGGCTGCCGCAGCGCAGACAAAAGCAGGCGACAAAAAGGGAAGATGGAGGCCACGAGGTTCGGAGGTCATTGGCTTCTGCCGATGATGGACCTCGAAAGCCCATGGACTCCCGCGGGGAAGCGGACGAGAAGGAGGTCTAGAATGATGGAGGCCAAACCAAATATTTGGAAAGGCTGTCCCAGGATATCGACTGATTGGTTCGCCGCCGGAGTGCGAAGGAGGTCTGGGAAGATGGAGGCCCCGAGGTTCAGAGGCCACCGATTGGTGCTGATGACGAACTTCGAAAACCCCTGCTCCTCAATGATACCCCTGAGATCGCGACGCTTCTGAGAGACTCTTCAGTCGCACAGCGACCAACGAAGGAATCACGAAGAGCATGTTGCAAACACTGTGTGCGGAAGGGAAGGTGTCAACTGGATAATTTTCTGAAGTGCTAGAAATTTTGCTTCGCAGAGGCAGTGTGCAGGTTCGGAGGAGGTGGAGAAGGAGTAGGAAATTGAGGCAAAGGAGCCGACAAAATCTCCCAACGGGGGCTCCCTCTAACCTCTTAGTGGTTGACGCCACAGTTGTTGAAGGGTTTATCATAGAAGAGAGGGCTTGGGAGCGCAACGGACGAACTGCGGACGGCATCTTTGACATAATTTGGAACAAGATTGGCCATTGATATTTTCTTGCTGATGAATTGCCGCGCAACTTGGCCTCTAGCGGCACAGTTCGCACTTTGCCAGAAGTCGAGCTCGCTCTTTCGAGTTTGGAAAGTGTTGAAGTGATTGCCAGAGTGGGAGACAAATGCACAGCTGCTACCCCGCGAAGGTTTAGCTGCTTCAAAATGTGAAAGCACAGATGACCAGCTGAGAGCGTTGGGCGTCTCGGCCCCCAGTCTCTCGTCCTCGGTCAATCTTCTGCACGCGCCGCATGTGTCCCCAGATTTTCAGGGAGGGGCGTGACCTTGCAGAGGGCGGAAAGAGAGGAAGGCGAGCATTCCTGAGCGCGCTTGGCGCGGGAAGCGGAATCTGAGCGCGCTTGGCGCGGGAAGCGTCGGTCTCGGCGTAGTGGGTGGAGAGCGCGAGCGAGGACATCTCGGCGCGCTTGGAGCTTCTGCGGAGGTGGGGGCGGGGGGGGGGCGTCTCGGAGAGCAGGAGCTCTGGCTCACAAATTAAAGAGGTTCTCAGGGAACCCCTTACTTGGGAACCCTGTTCACCAGCGCGTCCCCCAGAGTGGGCATGCGAAAAGGTCAGCAGCTCTTCCCCTCGCGCTGACCCGTTGGGGCTCGTCTTATTCAGCGAGCCTCTCGTACAGGGCCACCTCGGAGCTCGCCACCTTGAGCTTAGAGGTATGTCCCCTGCCTGCCCCATGAGAAGTCTGGGACTGCGGCATCATGTATAGCGCAAGGGACTTTGCTAGTCGCGCGCGCAGCACCTTCGTAGGTGTTGACGTTGACCCCCCCTCATGCGGATGACCTGACCTGTCCTCCTCCTCTTCCTCCTCCTCTTCCTCCTCCTCCCCCTCTTCTCATTTTGGCTCAAGCGATTGCATGGCTCTGCCTCGCGCCTCTCCGCGCGCGATGGTGGCGCCTAGAGGGGCTCTCGCGGCAGCGGACGTCGCGGCAGCGGACGTCGCGGCACTGGTTGCCGCTGCGGTTCGGGCCGCAACTGAAGCCAAGAGTCCTCGCCGCGCGGTGGCGGCGGTAGCGCGCGCAGCTTGCGCGGCCGCGGCGAACGCCTTGGCGGCGCCGCGCGCGCCGCCGCCCGCCGCCCGCGCCGAGGCTGCTCATGGTGAAGATGCTGCGGCGCCAGCTCGCCCGCCTTCCGAGGCGAAGCTGGCGCGGCGCGAGCGCCGCCGTCAGGCCCTGGCGGCCAGGCGGCGGGCGACGGCGGCCGGCGTTGCTGGAGCTGCAGGCGCGCCCGCGCCCGCGGCGGACGCAGCAGCGGACGCCATGTTCGTGGAGGCGGAGACTTCGTCGCTTGACGACGCCTGGGCTGATGCGCCTACCTGCCCGTCGGCGCGGCGGCGGAGGGCGCGGCTGGCCCGGGTTGCGGGGGCGGCGGAGGCGGCCTCGTGGGTGGCAGCCGGTGCTGCCCAGGGCTTGGCGGCGGGTGTTTTTGGCCCTGGGGCGGGTGCTGCCGCGGCGGAGGCGGAGCCAGTTTCTGGCGGAGCTGTCGCCGCGGGCATGCGCGACGTGGGAGAGCAGGACGAGCGCGCGGCGGTGTTCGCCGAGCTCGTGGACTGGTTCTCCGACCCGTCCGCAACCGAGGGCCTCTCCTTCTTCGCGCTCGCCCAGCTGCGCGCCGTCGCGGTGCAAAAGCGGAAGGTGACGTGAGCGGTGGCCCCCGTGGGCCCCGCGGGCAGCACGTGCGCGTCACTGGGCGCGGTTGCTGTTCCGCGGGTGGTCGGTCGGCGGCCTTTCCTCGGCGGTCGGCGGCACGCGTGCGCCACTGGGCGCGGTTGCCGTGCGGCCGTCGAGGCTCCATATCCCGAGACGGCTTCGCGATGCACCTGGCCGCTCTCTGCATTGTTCCGTTGTTTCTCTCCCTCTTCTTCTTCTTCTTCTTCCTCCTCCTATTCCTGGTCCTCCTCCTCCTCCTCCTCCTCCTCCTCCTCCTCCTCGTCCTCCTCCTCCTCCTCCTCCTCCTCCTCTTCCTCCTCCTCACCACCACTCCATCGTCCACTTCGCCCCGTGCCTGGTCCTCCTCCGCCCGTCCGCACCCTCGGCGGGCTCCGAGGCCATGGCGGCCATGCCCGGCTGGGACCCCCGGCTGGCCCTCGCGGCAGCCGAGGCCGCTGGCAGCGTGCCGAGCCACTGGGCTCCCCCACGCGCGCCCCCGCGCCGCCCCTCAGCCGCCTGTCGGCGGCCCGCCCGTCGGCCCGCCTTTCGGCGGCCCGCCCGTCGGCCGCTCGGCGGCCCCGCTGCGGCCCCTCGGCGGCGCGGCTTCTCGGTGGCCGTTTGGCGGCCCGTGGGCGAGGCGGGCGCGACGGCGGCGTTCGGCGCCATGCGGGGGGCTCTTCGGCGGCCGCCAGCGGCCTTCGGCATCCCCTGGGCCCCGGGCCAGCGGGCGCTTCAGGGGGGAGGCACGGTCATCGGGGGCAGCCAATGGGGGATGACCAGGGACGGTGGATGTCATGGCGGGGGCCATGGTATCTCCCCGGATTGAATGGTCCCTCTTTCGACGCGTCCCCTGGCCCCCTTCTCGTCCGCGCACGTGACTCCTGCCATGACTTGTGACCGATATTTTTGGGCGACCCCTTTTTGAAGCCCCCGACGTTATACCTATGCCGATGCACTTCCCTAGTTTACACTTTTGGGGCCTCCTGCGGGGCCCTCGTCGCCGCGGTTGCGCTCGCACGCTACCGTCGTATGGACCAGACTACTGCTGCATATTGTGCCGCCGTCTTCACCCAGCTCGCGAATTTGAGCAATATTGTGTTCCCCCGTGCGTGTGTCCGCCGCGCGACGCCTGCGAGCCCGATATAATTTTGTGCGTGGCTGCGTTTGTTTCAGCCGTGTGATGCAGGAGCAAGAGGTTCTCTACGAGCCGGTCGCCCGATCGCTTGTTGTACATCTTCTCCGCAGTTGTACATGCGTCCCGAAGGCGATCATCCCCACTTCGCAACGGTATGTCAGCGCAGTGGATGTCCGCGCAGCGAATGGGCGACCATGATGCAGAGGTGAGCATGTCGTTCCGATATGATGTGTGACTTTGTGCATGATCAGCGCATGTGGAAGCGTAGCGATGTATCTGATGCGTTCTGCATGGGAGCAAACGTTGGCTGAAGTATCCTTTGCCCAGGCTCCAGCCAACGTGGAGAGCCCCTCCCGCGCGGCTTGGACGAAGAAGCATGCGCAGGCTTCTCAGCGCATGAGCGGAGAGGACGCGCGCGTCTTCCTCATCGTGCCGTCTTGCCTGCTCCCTCTTGCCCCTCCATCATTTCCTCCTCCTCCTCCACATGTTCCTCCCCCTGTTTGACGGTGCGCGGATTTAACGCAACAGCATGGAGCGTTATGACCTCCTATTCCTCCTCCTCATCATCCTCCTCATCATCCTCCTCCTCCTCCTCATCCTCCTCCTCCTTCTCCTGCTCCTGCTCCTGCTCCTCATCCACCTTTTCCTCAGGCCTTCAGGCCTGTGTGTGGCTGTGTTCGGTGCCCCTGGTGTCTGAGGCCGTTGGCTAAGGAGCGTGCCCAGTACACCACGTCTGCCCAGCTGCCTGCGGCGAATCCCGTTACCGTTGTCAGTGCACCACCGGAAGCCATGCAGAGTACAGCTCCGTCGAGCTCCCTTCAACAGGCTCGGCAGGGCCGTCTGAGGGGGGCGGCGCCCCGAAATCTGCAGCCGCGCCGCGGCCGCAGCGTCACCAGGGCTGCCTCGTCGTCCCCTGCGGAGGTCATTGGATGCGTCTTGAGGGCTTTTCCGGGGCCTCGTAGCGCTAACCTTCAGATCCTACTTACCGTTACATCCCCCGGCCTTTCTTACGCACATTTCAACCGGCTTGCACATCCCCCCGGCCTTTCTTACGCACATTTCAAACAAGGATGTACTACAACGTGCAGGGCAACAGCCATACACAGCGCAGTTATTGAGGCATCAGCTGACATGGTTCGGGAAAATTGGAAGAGCTTCTAACCAAGATGTTCTGAGACAGCTTACTTCAAGATGGTTCGATCCGCTCGGCCACAGCGTCGCTCAAGCGGAGGCGGGGTAGACCGATGAATGCATGGGCATCGTGCCTGCGCAACTGCATTTCGGGTGCGTTCGCATCAGACGAGCACGTCATGGAGTACGTGCGGGACCCCCCCACATGGGAAGTCTTCGTACGACGTTTCACTGAGAGTTTGGGGCCGGACCCAGAACAGGCTTTCTAGTCCGTGCGCTCTGGCACCGTCGAACCAGGAGCTTCTGTATACTATGCCGTCCCTCCTTTCTCGCTCCTCCTCCCTCCCTTCCTCCTGCTGCTGCTGCTGCTGCTCCTCCTCCTCCTCCTCCTCCTCCTCCTCCAATCGCGCACGCTGTGCATTATGAGACAGCCGACGTGCAGTCGCTCCCGCAAAGCGGCGAGTTCAGGCTGGCATTGTCTTTTGCCCACGCGCTCCAGCGTATGGCAGTTCGTTCGTTCGTTCAGGGGGCAACGTTAGGGTGATGGGCTCAGGGGGGATGCATCGACACCAAATCGCCGATGGATCGCCGTTAGGGGCCCGATCGCCGCACGGTTTCGCTATCGAGGGCCCATCGCCGATGTATCGGATACGTATCGCCGATCCCAGTTCGATGTCGCCCCCCTGAGCCAGTCCCCCCCTAAAGGCCCAAACGTTTCTCTCAACCCTACGGGGATCATTGTAGGCATCTTGAGGGCTTCTCCTCTTGAGAAGAGACTCGGAAACCTTCCAAAAGTGAGAGTCCGACCTCCACGCTGGACGCCTTTTTCCCCCATCTTGGACGCAGGAACGACCTCCCGGATGGAGGCGTCTGATCCGTTGGCTCCCTCTCAGGGCCTCGGGCCACCTTGGGCGCGTCGCCGAGCTCCTCCCGTTGGGAGAAGCTCGGCAGCGCGTCCCAGCCGAGGAGGGCTGGAGGAGGCCGAGGAGGAGAGAGAGAGAGAGATAGAGAGAAAAACATAGAGCGTGTGACAATGCCGACTAGGTGCATGCCGCTTGCGGCAAGTTCAGCCTTCGTTCCAGCGCAGCACCTGTGCGCTGTTGCGTTCCAGATCCAGAGGACGTTCCTGTTGGATGCCGTAACATGTGTCAAGCTTTATGTTTTGTGTCTCAAACTCATGCTTTCGGAAAGAAGACTTGGTAGCGTCCAAAACCCGGATAGCGCAGCCGCACGGGGACCTCTGCCAGGCCGCCTGAAACGATGCGCGGGACGCTGGAACTGGGCGCCGGCGGTAAACCGTCAACCTTTCTTACCGCCGGGGGACTCGTAGAGCTTCCTGAAAATATAAAATGTGGGAAAAAACTCCAAAGAACGACTAGTTTTTCAGCCCAAGCGATTCCAGACCTATCAAGATAACGTTAACAAAAAAACAAACAGTTTCGCAACCGAGTTAGGGTATCAAACCGAGTTCAGACCTCTGAATGCGACAGGCGGCCGCATCTGATGTCTGCCAATCCACTCATGTGATTCCCAGCCCTGCAGCCCCACAGCCCGAGTTAAGTGCAGAAAACGACAGTATCGACTCGAATAATAGAATAGTTTTCCCGATCTAGTTCGAGCAGCAGACCGAGTTCCGAGCTCTGGAATCGATCGACAAACACGCCTGATGTGTGCAAATCGATATATGTGACCCGCAGCACTGTAGCCGGCCCCAAACACGAGTTAAGTGCAGAAGACAGAGAGCACTTTCAAGATCATTCAACAATACGAATAGTTTTGCAAATCTAGCTCGGGCAGCAGGCCGAGTTCAGAGCTCTTGGTTCAGTAGACGAACGCGACTGATGATTCCCCATCGATGTCTGTGACAAAGAGCCCTCTAGCTGCCCTACAGCTCGAGTTAAGTACAGAAAACCGAGAGCGTCTGTCAAGATGACTCGAATAATACGAATAGGTTTGCGGACCTAGCTCGGCTAGCAGACCGAGTTCAGACCTCTGGATTCAACAGGCGAACGCGCGTGATGATTCTGAGTGCAATAGGTGTGCTTACCAGCACTGTATCTGCCCTAGACCTCGAGTTAAGCAGAAAATACCGACAACACGTATCAAGTTGACTCGAATAATACGAATAGGTTTGCGGACCTAGCTCGGCTAGCAGACCGAGTTCAGACCTCTGGATTCAACAGGCGAACGCGCCTGATGATTCTGAGTGCGATAGGTGTGCTTACCAGCACTGTAGCTGCCCTACACCTCGAGTTAAGTAGAAAATACCGACAACGCGTATCAAGTTGACTCGAATAATACGAATAGGTTTGCGGACCTAGCTCGGGTAGCAGACCGATTCCAGACCTCTGGATTGAACAGGCGAACGCGCCTGATGATTCTGAGTGCGATAGCTGTGCTTACAGGCACTGTAGCTGCCCTACAGCTCGAGTTAAGTTGAAAATACCGACAGCCCGTAGCAAGATGACTCGAAACGGCCGTTCCCGCCACCGTGCTTTTTGGCCTTCAAAGTTACCCGATCGAGCTGAGATCAAGATGGCGAGCGGGAATAAGATCGAATATCACGGGAAAAAATACTAGAGCTCTAACGAATGGTCAAATTTCGAGAACAAATTTTCAACCGAGCAAAAGTCACCAAAAGTTCCGTCGAGATTTTTCTTGCCAACTAGCTCTCCAGCGCGCCGGAATTACTCTTAGCTTCCAGCTATAACTAGCTAAGGGAAGCTCTACGAGTTAACCTTGCAGGAGACGCCTGCAGGGGCGTCGTTGACGATGCGTGGGGCCCTGCAAAGCGCGCGAGGAAGACCTGCCGAGGAGCCTGGAAGAACTGCCGAAGCTCTTCCGAAGCTCTGCCGAAGCGCTTCGCGCACCCTGGAGCCACGCGTATTGGGAAACGCTAGGAAGCCACGCTCCCGGACACGCTGCGACCTCCGGCAACCTGCTGCGACGAGCGTGGAGCGGCGGAGGTGGGCGTGTCTCCCTCACCACCCACCGCCGGCTTCTTATCTGAAACCCTCAGCTCTCAAGGAGCTATCCGGGAAGAAGGTGGCTTTCCCCTAAGCTGCAGAATCGGTGCCCCTAGCAGAGAAAGCGGCTCTTGGCTCGAGTTCGGGTGCAGCCTGGTCTCCCGCCTTGCCAGAGCTCCGACGGATCGATATGTTCCAGCCGCGGGCTCCAGAGGTTTCGACCTCTCCTCCGTTGGCAGCTTCTCGCCCTGAGCTTCCTGATGGCCCCAGGGCCCGAGTAACGGCGCAGGCAGCCTGAGATCGGGGAAAGCCGCTCAGGGTTGGAATAATCTATCCACCCGAAGTTTTAGGTCCTCCTCCCCCAAGAGATGGGCCCTGGGACCTCTCCCGGGTAGCGTTCCGACCAGAATCTCGAGGGGAGTCTGGCCATGGCGACAGAGAAAGAAGCATCCAGGAAGCCCAGAGACGGCGAGAACTCAGCACAAGAAACCTCAACCTCCCTCAACCTTCGCGAACCTTTCCAGACTTCCGACATCATGATTTTTGTTCGTAATGTGCCCCCCCCGATGTCTCGACCGATTCCCCGGGGATGCACGCCGTGCCAGAGGCGTCGAGAGCCGCTTCACGGCCGTGTGCACACGTGCGTGTGAGGCCGAGCACGGGCATGCCTCGTTGAGCCCTTGTGGCTTGTGGTACCACGATGTTCGTTTTGCGGTAGTCGGCAGAGCCCCCACAGCCGAATCTGATCGAAAATTCGTGACTTTTCCGTGCCTCGTTCCGTCTTGCCGCGCAAGGCAAGGTTCGCGCGCAGGCTCGCCTGTTGCATCCAGGTTGGTCCTTGCGTGGCTCCCGGGGTGCCAGGTGCAGTTCAGTGCCGCCCGCGTTCGTCGTAGGGGAGTGCGATTGTTTTGCGAGGAGGGGGGGCACTTTGTCGAACACCCTCCGTCGTGATGTTCTCACGGCGCGAGGAGGCCCGCACTTCCTCCAGCCGCCTGGGCGCCGAGGAGCAGCAGCAGGTCAAGATGGCGAGCGACACGCTGCGCTCGCACCTCCGCGCCCTGCAGGAGGTGGACTCGCGCCGCGTGGTCGGCTGCTCGGGGGGGGGGGGGCGGGCTGGCCCAGATCCAAGACCTCCAGAGTGAAGGTTGGTGCTCCCCCCATTCCGAACTCCCGTTTCTCCACAGCGGAGGTTCGGCCTCCACTCTGGGTGTTCTTTTGCTCCCCCTACATCCTGGGTTCTTGCTTCTCCCAAGTGGAGGTTCGGCCTCCAGGATGGAGGCTTTCGATCCTCTGGGGGCCTCGGGTGCCACAGATCAGGCAGCCTTGGGGGGTCGCCACCTCCTCGTGAGGACAGCCAGGACACTGTTTCTGCTCGATCCTGACGCCTCCCCCGTTTTCAGCCTTTTCGAGCCCATTATCTGGCCCTGGGGCCATCTGCCATGGATCCGGGACGAAAGACTGCCCCCAGGGAAGGGGTCGAGAATTCTGGGCCGCGGACTGAACAAATAGCATCGTCGGGTGTGAGGTGATCGAAGTTGGAGGGTCGAGACTCGCAGAAGTCTTGGGCGATCCAGGAGGCTCTGGCGACTGGAGGGGGCCCTGCAAGGTGCTCCTCGAGGGGGCGGCGACCCCCCTCTACAGAGGTGACCCCCCTGGGCAATGCCTGGACAGAAGAGCGGCGTACATCAATGATGCACGCGCTCTTCGATCGAACGGTTCATTCGATCGACAAGCGCGATGGCGCTTCTCGGGAGCGCTCCTACGGGGGCTCTCGTCGCCTCGGCCGGGTGCGGCTCGGAAAACAGGCCAGTATTTGGAGCCGGGGAGGGGCCCATAGGCCGGTTCGCGGGCGGACCTGGGGAGGCAGGTCGGCTACGAGTACGTGTTCGGACGGTTTGGTGAGTTCCAGGAGGTTTATGGCCTCGGAGTGCGTGGCAGCAGCTGCGCCTCGCTGAGAGCGTTCCCGGGTGTGCCCGAGTCGTCCCGAACGGCCACGAGAGACCCGAGTTATGACCCGGAAGCTGTGACCTTCGGAGCGCGGCTTTCGGAGGGCGCTGACGCCCGGAAGATGGAATAACAGAGCATTTCCCAAATGATGCAAGAACCCATTGGAGATCGTTGTCTTTTTGCGCTTCGAAGGCCTCTTTGGGTCTTCTTTGGGTCGTCTTCGGGCGTCTGGTGGGTGCATGGGGCCTCTTGGGGCCCTCGGGGGGCCGTTCGGCCGCCCTCTTGGCCGATTTGGGCCCGTTGCCTGGACCCAGGAAGGGTTTCCACGAGCTCTGGAAAGCCTGGGTGAGCTCCTTCAGGGGCGTCTGGGGTCTCCCGGGGCCACGGATCCGGGGGATCCCGTTTTGCGGGGGGGGGGGGGGGGAGGGGCGGGGCGCTTTCCCACACAGCCCGTTTGTAAACAAAAGGGCGAGGATCCTGGGTTGCGCGTGAGAGTTCTCATGGATGCTTCTTGGGGTCTCTTCGGAGCGCTCTCAGAGGCCTCTTGGGGGCAGTTTTGTGGCCTTTTGGGGGCCTCTTGGGGGCCTCTCATCCTTGGGGCCTCTTGGGGCCTCTTGGGGGCCTCTTGGGGGCCTCTTAGGGCCTCCAGAGGGGGCCCCTCGGGGCAGAGGGCTCGCAATGTCCGTTCGGGCCCCCCATCTGGGACCCCTCTTGCAGCCGTCTTTGGGTCCTCTTGGGCAGTCTTGGGCCGTCTTGGGGTCATCTTGGGCCGTGTTGGAGCCCCCTGGAGGCCTCTTGGGCCGTCTTGGGAAGATCTTGGGGGCCTCTTAGGCCGTCTTGGAGCGTCGGGAAGCCGAAAAGGGGGGAACGCCACACACCTTCAAAAATCCACAGGGAAATCAAGGATGTTTGCTTCGTGGAGCACTCGTAGGAGTGCTCTTGGAGGCCTCTTGGGCGTCTTTGATCGATCTTTCGGCGACTTGGGGCCCTCTTGGACCGTCTTGGGGGCCTCTTAGGGCCCTCTTGGCCCGTGTTGGGGCCCTCTGGGGCTCGAAAAATTCACGGGGCTCCCTTCGGGCCATATTGCGGCCCTGTTGGGCCGTCGTGGGGCTCTCTTGTACTGCCTGGAAGATCCTGGAAGCCCTCTCGGTTAGTTCTGGGGCAATTTTCGGGGCCTCCTGGGCGGCCTCGGGCGCCCAGGAGACCGAAGAGCAGAGCATTCCCCCCAATACGAAAATACATCGGTGTAAATATTTGTTTAAATAAGCTGTGCTGGGGGACCCTAAGTGCCAGAGCTTGGGGGCAGACGGCAGCGGCCGAGAGGCCTGGCGAATAAAAAGTCCAGGACACACAGAGCTTGAATATCCGACACAGCAACAGCATATGAGAGCGACCACATTACAAGCGCGAGCGAAAGCGAGGGGTCTACGCCCCAAGTAAAGTTCAGAGCACTCGTCCACATCATGCTGAAACCAGCCCTCCACGCGGAGGGCCCACAGGTACCTGACCTTCATGGGCCCACAGGGGCCGATCAAGCACAACAAAATGAGAGTGCGAACCCCTCACAGGGAGGGGGGGTCGAGGCCGAAACTTGAGCGGCGGCGAAGCCGAGGAGGACGAGGCCGAGGACGAGGACAAGAGGGAGAGGGACGGCACAAGAGGGAGAGCACTAGCAATGTAAAAGTGCGTTTAGTAAAACATGTTTTTAAATAAGCTGTGCTGGGGACCCTAAGTGCCAGAGCTTGGGGGCAGACGGCAGCGGCCGAGAGGCTTGGCGAATAAAAAGTCCAGGACACACAGAGCTTGAATATCCGACACAGCAACAGCAGATGAGAGCGACCACATTACAAGCGCGAGCGAAAGCGAGGGGTCTACGCCCCAAGTAAAGTTCAGAGCACTCGTCCACATCATGCTGAAACCAGCCCTCCACGCGGAGGGCCCACAGGTACCTGACCTTCATGGGCCCACAGGGGCCGATCAAGCACAACAAAATGAGAGTGCGAACCCCTCACAGGGAGGGGGGGTCGAGGCCGAAACTTGAGCGGCGGCGAAGCCGAGGAGGACGAGGCCGAGGACGAGGACAAGAGGGAGAGGGACGGCACAAGAGGGAGAGCACTAGCAATGTAAAAGTGCGTTTAGTAAAACATGTATTTAAATAAGCTGTGCTGGGGACCCTAAGTGCCAGAGCTTGGGGGCAGACGGCAGCGGCCGAGAGGCCTGGCGAATAAAAAGTCCAGGACACACAGAGCTTGAATATCCGACACAGCAACAGCAGATGAGAGCGACCACATTACAAGCGCGAGCGAAAGCGAGGGGTCTACGCCCCAAGTAAAGTTCAGAGCACTCGTCCACATCATGCTGAAACCAGCCCTCCACGCGGAGGGCCCACAGGTACCTGACCTTCATGGGCCCACAGGGGCCGATCAAGCACAACAAAATGAGAGTGCGAACCCCTCCTCACAGGGAGGGGGGGTCGGGGCCGAAACTTGAGCGGCGGCGAAGCCGAGGAGGACGAGGCCGAGGACGAGGACAAGAGGGAGAGGGACGGCACAAGAGGGAGAGCACTAGCAATGTAAAAGTGCGTTTAGTAAAACATGTATTTAAATAAGCTGCGCTGGGGACCCTAAGTGCCAGAGCTTGGGGGCAGACGGCAGCGGCCGAGAGGCCTGGCGAATAAAAAGTCCAGGACACACAGAGCTTGAATATCCGACACAGCAACAGCAGATGAGAGCGACCACATTACAAGCACGAGCGAAAGCGAGGGGTCAACGCCCCAAGTAAAGTTCAGAGCACTCGTCCACATCATGCTGAAACCAGCCCTCCACGCGGAGGGCCCGCAGGTACCTGGCCTTCATGGGCCCACAGGGGCCGATCAAGCACAACAAAATGAGAGTGCGAACCCCTCACAGGGAGGGGGGGTCGAGGCCGAAACTTGAGCGGCGGCGAAGCCGAGGAGGACGAGGCCGAGGACGAGGACAAGAGGGAGAGGGGCGGCACAAGAGGGAGAGCACTAGCAATGTAAAAGTGCGTTTAGTAGAACATGTATTTAAATAAGCTGTGCTGGGGACCCTAAGTGCCAGAGCTTGGGGGCAGACGGCAGCGGCCGAGAGGCCTGGCGAATAAAAAGTCCAGGACGCACAGAGCTTGAATATCCGACACAGCAACAGCAGATGAGAGCGACCACATTACAAGCGCGAGCGAAAGCGAGGGGTCTACGCCCCAAGTAAAGTTCAGAGCACTCGTCCACATCATGCTGAAACCAGCCCTCCACGCGGAGGGCCCACAGGTACCTGACCTTCATGGGCCCACAGGGGCCGATCAAGCACAACAAAATGAGAGTGCGAACCCCTCACAGGGAGGGGGGGTCGAGGCCGAAACTTGAGCGGCGGCGAAGCCGAGGAGGACGAGGCCGAGGACGAGGACAAGAGGGAGAGGGACGGCACAAGAGGGAGAGCACTAGCAATGTAAAAGTGCGTTTAGTAAAACATGTATTTAAATAAGCTGTGCTGGGGACCCTAAGTGCCAGAGCTTGGGGGCAGACGGCAGCGGCCGAAAGGCCTGGCGAATAAAAAGTCCAGGACACACAGAGCTTGAATATCCGACACAGCAACAGCAGATGAGAGCGACCACATTACAAGCGCGAGCGAAAGCGAGGGGTCTACGCCCCAAGTATAAAGTTCAGAGCACCCGTCCACATCATGCTGAAACCAGCCCTCCACGCGGAGGGCCCACAGGTACCTGACCTTCATGGGCCCACAGGGGCCGATCAAGCACAACAAAATGAGAGTGCGAACCCCTCGCAGGGAGGGGGGGTCGAGGCCGAAACTTGAGCGGCGGCGAAGCCGAGGAGGACGAGGCCGAGGACGAGGACAAGAGGGAGAGGGACGGCACAAGAGGGAGAGCACTAGCAATGTAAAAGTGCGTTTAGTAAAACATGTATTTAAATAAGCTGTGCTGGGGACCCTAAGTGCCAGAGCTTGGGGGCAGACGGCAGCGGCCGAGAGGCCTGGCGAATGAAAAAGTCCAGGACGCACAGAGCTTGAATATCCGACACAGCAACAGCAGATGAGAGCGACCACATTACAAGCGCGAGCGAAAGCGAGGGGTCTACGCCCCAAGTAAAGTTCAGAGCACTCGT